GAGAACAGCCACATTCTAGGTTTGTTCTTTTCAGGCAAGGGGGGAGACATCACACACTACAATCACACACACACACCCCAGCACCAAGGTAATTCCTCCACCTCCCTTGTGGTGTCAGAAATGATTCTATTAAAGAAGACTCCCCTTTTTCTCTTGAATTCTTTCACTTGGAGTTGCATATTAATATGCAAATGGCCCTTAATGTTAACATCATCAGGTAACACCTGATCTGTAGTGTGAGGGCTATAGACAAAAATGCCCAGGGAGACAAGGCCCTGGGCATGAAACACTAACCAGGCATCCAGATGGAAGGAATTTCACGGAAGAGGAAAAGGGGCTGGGATGGAGAATATAGGAAGCAAAGATACCTCTCACAATTTTGCTTGGGGCCTCTTCTGCTTTAAGGTAATGACTGACTCTCTAGTCAATTACAATACTCCCTCCAATCTTGGCTGAACTTTTGAGACTAGAAACCGTGGGTACCATAGTGCCCATTGCAATGGTAGCATATGCTCAATGTTAGTGATTTAAGTTCCAGTACCCCCAAGAGTCAATCTTTTCTAAATATTGGTGAAATGGTTGTTCTTGAACACAGCTTTAAGGATGCTCACTCCTCTTCCAATACCTCTACAGCAGTGTCCAACCAGATGGCTGAATGGTGACAAATTTTGAGGTTTTAAAGGCCCGATCTCAGCTGACTCCTTCCTAGCTGGTAAACTTTCCTCACTACCGTATATTGATACAGGTAGTTTTCAATGGATTTATTGCTATAATTCTATTTCATGTCCACAAAAGTTTCTTTTCCTCTGACTGAAATATTTTCTGCCTATCACTAAAAGCCAAGTTTAGAGTTATCATAGTTACTATGGAGAGGGGTCATTTCTCTTTTTTCAGTCTTTCCATATAGAAAATAGAAAAAAAATTAGACTGACAATTGGAAAGAACTTTAGCATCTCCTAATCAAATCCATTATATTACATATGAGTTCACTAAATTCCAGAGATATTACTGCAAACTATAAAGACAGTTGAAAATGGGGAGAGGTACCTAAAAATTTCAGTACTTAGCAAGATGATCGCTTAGCATAAAACCATGAAATTTGTAAAACATTTACAATGTGGTTAGTGTTTTTGGAAACACTGTATTCCTTACCCTTTGCCAAGAAACTTAGTATCAACAGTTATAATTTGAAATTTTAAACTGTCTGGGTGATAAGCACATATTTGAGAAATGAGGGTAACCACCATTATTTTATACTCAAATTGTAGACATTTTGAAATAATTAATCTGAGGTTTTTTATTCCTGTGTACTTTAAATTTTCAATATTAAAATGATTTAATTATTTCAATAATTCCCCAAACATCTAAACACAATATAAATAATATCACCATAATTGTTAAGCCACAGAATTATAGCTGAAAAGAATGAGCAGATAAACAGTTGGAGGTGGGAAGGCACCTGATTTGCAGCATTTTCCAATTTTCACAGTGTAATACTGCCCCAATTTCAATTTACTAACATCAGTCAGGGATCAGGGATGAAAAATGTGCCCATCCAGATTGGCTCCAGCACATCTGGATATGAGACCAGAGAGTGTAGCCTTTTCATTGCTGAACGCTTTTCACAGAGCTGACCATTTCTTTATAAGCCACTGTGCCCTGAACACATAGGACATACAGTGGGGCCTTGACTTACAAGTTTAATTTGTTCCGAGACCGAGCTCATTAAGGAGCTCGTTAACTCAAATTACTCTGTCAACTCAATGCAAAAAATCAGCCGAGAGACAGCTGGTATCTCAAAAAACTCGTTAGTCGGGACACTCGTAAGTCAAGGCCCCACTGTAACTGCTATACTATATTATTATGCTTATCTACTCAACCCTCTTTACAGTGGCTTTCAATGTTTATTTGGATGTAGAACAGTAAAAAAACACATTTTACCTCATGACCCACCCTGTGAACACACATATATGAGTTTTATGTACATACACAGATGCATAAAAGCAAAACAGAAGCCTCACAAGGTAAAACACACCCTTACTAATCGCAATGCACTGATAAGAGAATTTTCTATTCTCTTCCATTTCATTTTAAAAATTCTGAACTTGATCCACTAAATTGGATTCATATCTCACTATTTGGTTAGCCCCCCCCCCCAATTAAAAAACAGTGCTCCAATAGCCTCTAAGCTCGTTTGTATCTCTTCCTGTCTAGTAGTACTTATTGAGGTCCAAGAAGGTTAAATACTTGCCCAAATATGAACCTCCCATCATTGATAAAAGATCCCTCAAGGCAAAAGCGAATTCATTACTCAGAATCAGGATATTCACGGCTTGACACTGGGAGCTAAAAGGCCTTCCAAGACAGCTTCCTCTTCCCCAGAAATTGACAGAAAATTTCTGTAAAAACCATACTGATGAAAGTTCATCCCTTTACACTACATAGAGCCCTATGACCATGCCTGCCTGTTGGCCTAGGACAGTGGTCGGCAAACTCATTAGTCAACAGAGCCAAATATCAACAGTACAACGATTGAAATTTCTTTTGAGAGCCAAATTTTTTAAACTTAAACTATATAGGTAGGTACACTGTTATTAACTTAATTAGGGTACTCTTAAGCTGGCCTTTGCTAAAAACGTCCTCAATCTGATTGAGGTACGTTCGCTGATGTCGACCCCTTCCAACTCTCCCTTCCACACTCGTCTTGTATACTTGTTTCGTCTATCTCCTTTCCGAAAACCGACTTCTGTGCATGGGCCACGAAGTTTCAATTGCACTGTACGTGCGCGCCTGCACATGGTATTTTGTGGAAGAGCCACACTCAAGGGGCCAAAGAGCCGCATGTGGCTCGCGAGCCGCGGTTTGCCGAACACTGGCCTAGGATGACTAGGCAAATTCAGTGATTCCCATTTCTCTATTAATAATATTCACCCCTCAAGAGTGAAAAGATACCTAACTTTTTCACAAAACATTTTCAATCCTGTAGGGACATGCTATGTAAATGCTGATTCGTAATAAACATATTTTATGTATATAATATCCATTAAAACCAGCCTTCTAATAACCAGAAGCCAAAGACTTAGTTGGAGAAAATACTCAGGAAAATAAAACCTGAACCCATTGCCTTTTCTCCTCCATGTGCTCATGCACCACGTTTTTTTGTAGATGCTATTAAATATACACTATAGTTTCAAGACAATCCAGATAAGCATCCTCACTAAAATACACAACACCATTAATCATCGCAGTGACAGTGCTCCGATTTAACATCTTGGGGATTTCCTCCCCTTCTTCATCATTTATTTGCCAATATTTCCTTGTTATGAATATCCCCCTAGTGACTTTGCCTGGCAGTCACAGCTGTGCCGCCTACTGTGCCTACCTTGACTACAAATAACACCAATTCTTTAAAAAGCCAGCCCTGGAGATGATACCTACGGTTACAAGGAAAGCCTTGCCATCGACTGGATTCCTGGTGACCTCATCCAGGCTCCTGACCTTAAATAGACAAACCTCAGCCCCTAAGCAGAGTGTAATTTCAGACACGTGAAACTGGCTTAATTACAAACGAACAACAGTTGGCGCTGGGCTCCAATTACTTGAATGGTCAATAATCAACTGCTGATTTAAGATGGTCCTTAAAGGACCCCCTTCTTATACAACAAAAGGCTTCTTCAAAGTATCCATTAATCACAACAAAGCCACAAAATCACTAAAAATTGCAGAAACCTGACCACCAATAGCCACAATACATATGACTCACAGATAACAAGAACTTTTGAAGTAATAATCAGAAACAATTTTGCATATAATTACACTGATTCAGATGAAGGGAATGACGCTATCTAAGCAGCAAAACATGACAAAGATACAGGGATACCAGCCCATTTCGGAGAGCCACCTTCACTGGCTCCAGGATTTCCTGATCGTTTATAAAATGGAAACCATGAGAGAAAATGCTCTGTGAGCAACTGGAGGAGTGAATGAACCAATTTGTATTCAAAACAAATTTTTAAGGAAAAGGGGTATTATTTTTTCAATAATGAAACTCTACCACAAAAGAAGTTAGGAGTTTCTGGACAAAACACACCAAACTATATCTGCAAAGTACAGCTAGAAAGACTAATGCTTCAATGGAATACCGTTTACCTTATTTTACATTTTTATAAGAAAACTTAAGTAAGTAAAGGTTAATGTTGCTTCAGTTAATATTCCATAACTTTTGTGAAAAGCATACATTTTCTCCTTTTTGAGGAGATTCCAATTGAGACTGTTGTTTTTAAAAAACAAAACAAAAAACTAAAACTTTCTTCTTAGTAAAAGCAATACAAGGCAAACTATGATATAGTAAGATGCCTCTCCTCCCCAGAGCAGTGTTCACTTCAGAGAGAGTAGCAACACCTTGTTACCAACTGTGCAGATTCTGTTAAGTAATGGACAAAGCAAATGGCAGCAAAGACAGAAGACTCAACTTCAATTTAACTGTCCTGGAAGGTACATAGTAATTAGCTGCAAAGCTCTGAAATCTTAGCTAGCATGTTAAGTCTGCTACATGACAGTATAATTTGACTTCTTAAAGGATTATGCAAATTACAACTCATCATTCCATTACAGGAATGAAAAAAAGTGACAGCTAATTTATACATAACACACCTTTCAAATCCCTAAGATGCACAGCACCTGTGCAATGTATTTTGCTGAGATTTTCTTGCATATAAGTATTTGTTTATTGCAATAAAAAAAGCTTACCTAAGAGCTTTAATATAGTCATTTTTTTAAAAAAACTCTTAGACCAGAATTTCAAAAGCATTCACATTTTTTTCTGTCTTGATTTCAGAGACACATTTTTGGTTGTTTTTATTCTATTTGGTTTTGGTTTTTCCACCCCCCACTAAATTAGAAAAATATAAGGTTTCAATACAAGGATATTTTTTAATAGCTGGCAACCACAAGCACTGATGCACGAGTCAGAAGGAAGACTCACAAAGATTTCAACATAC